GGGGGGGGGGGGGGGGGGGGGGGCGTACTCATATGTTTTGCATACCTTAGCGGTTAGACCACTGACGGAGCATACTTCCCACAGCAACGATCGCCGATGGCCAATAGTTCCTTCCTACTTTGTCAAAGGTGGCCCAAAAACGCATTCCCTAGACTATCGATATCACTTCCCAGGGGGTGTGTGGAGGTGGGGCGCAGATCGGGAAAATATCGGGTCAACGAAGGATGCACATCACGAGGGGCGACGCACGTCTTCGAGAGAAAACGGTAGTAAGGGGATGCTCCTTGACATACAAAGTAGGGGTTCTGAGCCAGGCGGCTATTCGCAAGAGGTCCAACCACATCAAGTAGTGGTGCGCGGCTTGGCGGTGACGACACGGGGGAGGTTGAGCCTCGTACCACAAGGAAGGGAGCATAACTCGTGAAGAAAAACAACCAAGTACAAACAAACATGCCAGCGTAAGCTGCAACCATCATGCGTCCGTCATGGAACTGACACAATACCGACGCCGTGCAGGCCGCGAGATGGTGTGCACGAGCACCAGAAAAACAAACACACCTCTCTCCCGGACCCCCTGATAATCAAAACGAACCTTCGGGTGCCCGATAAACCAACACACTTCTCCTCCCGCATCTCCGGAAAAAACACAAGAATTGACCTTCGAAACACATGAAAAGACGTCCCGAAAACGAACGCCACCGCCTGAACCCGCGGAGATATCTATCCCTCACGCCCACCTTCTTCTCCACACGCTTTGCCAGCTTTTTTTCGGCCGCTTTCAGCCCCAGGCTGTTGGACGAGATCCGAGCGCCACCACTGAGCATCGCCTCGAAGTCGCTGTATTCGGTCTGGCACAAAAATTCACGGAGAAAAGCAAGGAAAAAAATCGGAACCCTTTTGGCAAAACCAGAAACCCTCGAAATAAATATGCCGCTCGTTGTCACCATGCTATACATGATGTGAATTTTTTGTTTCGTACAACAAACTGCTGTCAAGAGTTGCGAATAACACAATTGTGCAGCGGCGCTGAATAGCAAGGTGGCGTGTCTCCCGTGCCGTGAGGCGTCGGACTCCTTTCATTTATCGCACCACCAAGAAGCAGGGGTCACAAGCACCGCTTGAAGAAGAAAGAGCGTGGGGCCATGAAAACAAAATTTAAATAAGCTAAAGCGCCAGCAAATGAGCTTCTTCTTATCACACGTCATTGTAGTACACCGAAATGCGTGTGGGCTGGGGCCGGAAGAGATGCACGACCACCGACGACTACATGCACATGTCCTACGCTGCTGCGCACTCAGACGGTTTAGCAGTACCCGGAACCAGACACCACGGCAAACAACAGCAGTGCGTACGCCTTGCGCAGCAAAATACTCGACGAAAACAAAACGAGACACACAAGACATCTAGTACCGTAAAACATACTTGTAGCATTATAGAGCAAAACGACAAGGACCCACGGCAAGTCCCACGTGGCAAGTCGGCGGCGGCGCACCTCGGACGCTACCGGAGAACGGTTAACAACCGGCTTCTTGCCGGCAACGACCGCGTCCCACTGCGCCTTGTCTCGCATAGTCTCCCAGTCCGTGTACACAGCGCGAGGGTTTTCGACTTCTGGCGACTTGCGGGATCCTAGGTGAAGGGCATCGGCGGCGGCGAGGAGGACAAGAGAATACACGAGGTGGCGCGGGGGGTCTGCATACGAGGTTGAGAATACTCTGCATAGAAGGCTATGGAGGAAGACGCGCGATAATACGGGGTGGGTCGGGGGGTCCGTACACCAAGTCAAGAGCAAACTGCCCAAGCCGAAACCGATGCACCGAGGGTGCCGAAGCTTTGTTTTACCATGGGTGCATCACGGGTCTGTGTGGAAAAGGTGCAGAAGGGCGACTTATCAATGAGACGTCCCTGGCCTGCCCTGACAAAGCTCACCGCGTTTTCTCCCCGGTCAGAAAAATCAGAGAAAAGCCTAGGGCCCCCGATTGCTTGGGCTGTCTCGCAACAGCAATAAGAGCCGTGCTCTCGCAAGAGATGCAAGGTCAATAGCCATACGTCCGACAAAAACAACCAACATGAGAGTACCACCCCCATTGCTTGAAGACCGGGTTCGTGTAGTTGCAGGATGTCCGTTTTCGCGAAAAAATGTGCATGGCTGAGCTGGGAAAAATACACGGAAGACACAGCAGAGAGATGATTGAGGCACAGAATAGCCAGGAGAAGACGGTAGCATGAGTACCCCCCCGCCCGCGCCCCGCACAGCACGACGCTTCGCGCTTGGTGATGTGAAAGCCTGGTCCGGTGAGAACCCGGCGTGCTCCGTCCCGGCTTTGTAGGGATGCGAGGTCAACGGTCTGACGACTACGGCATGCACGGCTACGAGTACCCCCCCGCCCATCCCCTTGTTCGTAGGAAATGTATATATACCACCAGAGTCGAAGAAAATGGTGAAGGACATCAAGATAGGGTTCGAGGAGGTAGCAGCGGATGTACAAAACTTCAAGAGAAAGGGAGAAGTAGTTTTAGTTGGGGACTTCAATTCATGAATCGGGCGAACCACGAACCCACACGGAGCCATCGGGCAATATGGGGAGGGAGCCACGAACGAAAACGGGGAAGAAATGCTGAGGTTCCTTGACAGTAGCGAGATGAAGGTGTTGAACGGTAGAGTACCAAAGACAGAACCGGAATGGACTAGGCAGTGTTTCAACAAAGGAGAACGCTACATCCTTGACTACATAGTCGTAGAGAATGAGGGGAAAGAGACGGAAGTACGAGTATGCACAACGGATGTAGGCACTACAGACCATGCGTTGGTGTGGACAGCCCTACAACAGACGAGAGTCATACAGAGTAGGCGACGCAGGGAAATGTACAGATGGAGAATAGACAAGTTAGAAGTGGAAGAAACGAGGGTAGAGTTTCAAGAAGAGATGGCTGTAAACGACAAGAAACTCTCGGAGTTGATAGAGGCAATGGGCACACCGAAGGATGCCAAAGGTCGGGACCAGGCCGGATCTAGAATCATAGAAGGGTGGGAAAAGCTGGTAAACACAACGACAAGTAGAGTTCTCGGTAGAAAGTTGATAGTTTGTAAGAGAGCAGTGAAGTGGTGGGACGAAGAAATCAAGCAAGCACTTCGAGTACGTAGTCACACGCCAAATATGCGGCAGGGGAAACCGAAGCAGGATGGAAGGAGTATATTGAAAATAGAAAGAGGGTGAAGGAGTTGGTGGTGAAGAAGAAGAAAGCGTTGTGGGAGGAAGTAGTCCAAAAGACTAACGAAGATTTTGAGGGGGGGATGAAGCAAATGTGGGTAGGAATTCAAGGGATAGTGGGCAAGAAAAGAGGGGGAGACACGGGAATAGCGACACTACGATCTGCCGAGGGTAAGATGGTAAGCAGTTCTAAAGGAAAGCGGGAAGTACTAGTAGAGCACTACCGCAAACTTGGGACACCCACCACCAACGACAACTTCGACTCGGAGTTTGAGAAGGAAATCAACTCGTGGGCAGAGGAAAACGTTGAAAGATCTCGGAGGGAATGTAGTGATGTAGGCGGGTTGCAGGGAGAGTTCACACGAGAAGAGGTAGAGGACTGTGTAGCGAAACTCAAGAATAGAAAAGCGGCAGGGGCTGATGGCATTGTGAATGAGCTGTTGAAACAGGGGGGGGGGGAATGATTCACATGTTGGTCCGGATATTCAACTGGATATGGAAACACGAGTACGCGCCGAAGAGATGGAGAGAAGGAGTAGTCGTGAACCTGTTCAAAAAGGGGGATAAAACTGACCCGGGGAATTATAGAGGGATAACCTTGCTGAGCACAGTGGGGAAACTCTTTGGCAAGATGATAAACAATAGAATGGGAGACATGTTGGAGGGGAAACAAAAGATCAGCGAAGGACAAGCTGGATTTAGACCAGATCGTAGTTGTGTAGACCATGTATATACGTTGAGTAAAATTATCCAAGGTAGGAAAGACGCCGGGCGTACGACATACTGTTTCTTCCTAGATGTACAAAAAGCCTACGACACCGTTTGGCGCAATGGATTGTGGAAAAAGATGTGGGACATAGGGACCCGGGGGAAAATGTGGAGTATGTTGAAAAAGATGACAGAATGCACAGGAGTGCAGTGATGTTGGATGGGGAAATCTCGAAGTACGTGGATATACTCCAAGGAGTCGCACAGGGCTGTACGATGTCACCCACTCTTTTCAAGATTTACATCAACGACTTGATAAGGGCGGTTGAAGCAGTAAGACAGGGAGTCCAAGTAGGGGGAAAGAGTGTGTCCGGACTGATGTTTGCAGATGATTTCGTGGGGGTATCCGAAACACCAGAAGGGTTGCAGGAACAAATAGATGCGGCAGTAGGATACACCCGAAAATGGAGACTGTCGGCGAACGTAGGAAAATGCGCAGTAGTGGTCTGTAACGAAGACAAGAAAAATCCCGTAGAATTCAAATGGAAATGGGGGGAGGAAGAACTACCGGTAGTAGACAGGTATACGTACCTGGGAGTAGAGATTTCGAAGGAGTGCTCATGGGACGCACACATAGCAAAGTTGATTGGGAAGGGTAAAGCTCAGATAGGCAAGATGGACGAGATCCTTACGGACCCACACCTAGACACTAGAATTAAGAGGTGCGTTCTCTTGAATGTGATTGTACCTAAGCTAGAGTATGCAGGAGAGGTATGGGAAGGTAACGAAAAGGCCGTCAAGCAGCTGGAAACGGTGCAGATGGCAGCGGCCAAGAAAATACTAGGATGTTCAAGTACAACGAGCAACACTGTATTGAGAGCAGAACTGGGAATGTACTCTCTTAAAACAAAGAGAGACATGCAAAAGTTGAATTGGCAGTACAAGGTAAGTAGAATGTCGGACGATAGACTACCAGCCATGGTTGACAAGGCAGCTTGGGGAAAAGCGACTCCAGGGAAGAAAGGAATCAGATGGGACAAGGTGGTAGAGAGGGTTTGGAAGGAGATAGGAGACGAGGAGGAGACATTGGACACGGAAGGGTTTGGGGGGTTCAAGAAGAAAGTCAAGGAGATGCTAGAAAGTAGGGAGGAGGCAACCCTTCGGAAGAAGGTACGAAGCGAAGACCACTTGGAGACATACGGGAAGTTGAAAGAAGGGATAAGGATGAAGAGTTTCTTGGACGGCCCCATGGACTACGCAAAAAAACTGAAGTTGCAGTTTCGAGTAGGCGATCTGGACTTCCCAGAACGGAGGAAGGGGTACAGCAGCCGTAGGAGAGAGGAAGAGGAGGATAGACAGACATGTCCATGTGGCAAATCGGAGGAGAGTAGACCCCAAATAGTTGGGGAGTGTGAGCTGTACAGGAAGGAAAGAGAGGATCTCGAGGAGGACATGAGACAGAGAGGGTGTGACATGGACAAGTTTGGTAAATTAGACAACAGCGAAAAAACGATCGCGGTAGTTGGGGATAGATGGTGGGCACGAGAGGCCGTAGAGGACGGGGATAAGATGTGCAAGAAATTTTTATGTAGTTTGTGGCAGAAACGTAAAGAGCTCCCAAATGTTGGTAGTGTCTCTAGTAGGGGTAGGAACGGTGCTCCGTCTCGAAAGGGACGCGTGGTCAATGGTCAAATGACTACGGCAAGCAACAAATGAGTACGCCCCCATCCCCTTTCTCACCGCTGTGATCCCCCGTGCTCTCCAGCAACTGGTTGTACTCCTCGTACTTGTCCCCGGACCGCCCCTCTTCCCGCGTGCTCGGCCACACCTTACCCCCGACGCCTGCCGCGCCCGTCTTCGCCGGCGCCCCTGTTCCTGCCGCTGGTGGCGCGCCGGCCGAGGCGGAAGGGGGCTTGGCGGCGCCCGCTTGTCGCCAGGACCGGTCGGGCTTGATTCTTGCCGCCGCCCCTTTCGCTGCGGCAGGCTTGGCTGCATCGTCGTCTTCTTCTTTGGGCAAGTCCCCGCTCTCCCTCAGCTTCTCCTCGAGCTCCCTCTTCATCCTGTCCCGCTGCGCCTTCGCCATCTGCTCCATGAGCTCCCCCTGCTTGCCCATGCCTCCCTTCGAAAATCCTTTCCTGATTAACAGGCATGCGTGCGGTAAGGGGGGTAAGAAAGCACGGCAGGCGGCCAAGAATGGGATGGAGCAAAGTACACGAGCGGACAGCGTTGGCGAAAACCGCATAGGATGGACTCCCACTTCAACGGATTCAAGCCTCAACCGAACGCTTTGGTTGTACGGAGGTTGGGGGCAGATGCGCCCTCTGACCGAGGGAAGATGCTCTCTCTGGTTGAGGGCAGATGCACTCTCTCTCCTTCTCGCAGGCTCCGATCACGATACAGAGAGGTGGGTCAAGCGAAATTGCGTCTTGAAATCACCAGAGATCCGTGTAGGCATGTTTAGTGTCAACATCAAACGGCCTGTGTTACATAGGCGCACAATTCATGCCCCGAAGCAGTATGTAACTGTGCAAACCTACCAAGGTGAGTACTCTAGCTGGGAAAGCGCAAATGCGTCTGTGTGCGCGAGTGACACAAGTTCAAACGACGGTGGTTGTAATGAGGTTGCGCCGCCTCTCAACCTCTCAACCGCTGCATCATCGGACGGAGCATGAGAGCCCCCGAGGGTGCGCACGCTGAATCTATTTCGCATTCCACTGGATGGCTACAGTGTATCAGCTCAATGCACCGCCGTTGCCGTAGGGGTTAGCCCGCGGCACACGCCCGACACACACACACACGTTACCTGAAGAGAGGACGACATCGGCTAGAATGAGAGCTCGTTGTTGAAGAACCTCGTCTCCTGCCGGGAGCGGGCGCCCTCCCATCGGCTGGCCTCACAGCAGCGGGCTGTGAAGGACGCGATAGTGGGGCTGGGGTCAGAAAACTCCACACCCACCCAGGGAGGGCGACCAGAAGCAGCGGTGAGCGGCGCATGGTTGAGCTAATGGTTTGGTGTGGTGGATCCCCTCGCGGAGATCTGTCATGGGGGCCCCGTGGATTTTCTGATTGGGGAGTGTTTCAACGCGCGGAGCCTCTCGAGAAAAAGATGCGCTGGGTCGCGTCCACCGTGCTGTGCACACCACACGGGCACGATGGAGAGCGACGGCAAGGGAGGGTCGGCGCTGGTTCTTCTGCTGTGGTGAGGGCAAGAAGAATGTTCTCCTCCAATATCCTAGTGAATATAGAGCATGAGAGAGGCACACATGCGCTACACATACATATCGTCGCGCGCCTTTTTACGGAATGTTTTCCGGTTCGGGCACCATAAACGACGAAACCCGCGGGCTTCCGCACCGACACCTCTCTGCTCTCTCCAGTGGCCACACCGTCCCGGCGTAGTACTGCACTGGAGGAAAGGAATGATGAGCAGCACGCTACTAAAGCAGATGAAGTCAGTGCTCGCTCTCTGTCTACGCGCCTAAGCTGTACGTTGTTGGCCGCCGATCCGCGTCTCCTCCTTCGCGTATCCTTGCTTGCTGGTCGTGACGGCACCAGCGGCGATCACCGCCGACAGACGAGCATGCCCATGTGCACGACTATCGTCGGTTAGGCTTTTGCCAAAGCGGTAGTACAGGCAGATTCACTTGGACAACAAGGGACGATGGGATAACAAATACGTGACCTGTTGTGTGCGACACACATCCCCCCCCAAAAGTGGTTCCACCGCGTATCCGGCACAGCTTGCTGTGACCCAGCAGTAGCGCAGCGTTTAGCAGGCGAGCTGGTTGCGCCGTGCTCGTAACGCAGACGCGAACCCGAACCGAACCTTGTGCGGTACCATGATGATGCCAGGTGCAAGGATTGTGCCTTTTGGCTACAACCATCCCATCGAGACAGAATGCCCCACATCACACCGACTTTGGTTCACCCGTTCACCCGGCGTTCCTCCGCACGCCGCATCCGCAGAACTACTGCTGTAGCTACTGCAGATTGCTCTCACGTCCTACATGATACAATGATCGGACGGCTGGTCGATGTGTGGTGATCTTCTCTCCGCAGCATTGGTTCGTTTGTCGTGGTGACGGCTGACCCTTGTCGGAGCATCGTCTGATTCAATCCCGCACAACACATATGCCGTGACACAATATATCACACCCCCTGCTGACTCCACGACGACCACAATAAATGAAACGCTTTTCGGAAAGCTCTCGAGAAGACGGGTCCAACACCGCCATTTTCGGCATCGCCACTATCCTCTGCTGCGGAGCAATCGAGCTTTGAAATCAGTCGAATGGGCGGTGATATCGCACGTAATCTATGGTATTGCACACCAATTTCGGTGTTGGAAGCGAATACACCGATCGCCCCGCACTCCCCAAAAAATACAAGCGAGACACTCTCCTAGGGGCAAGAATGTTAACACATTACATACATCATCATCGTCTCCATCCAGTCGTTACGAAAGGCCGTGGGGAAGAGCTGCGCGGTCAATGATGACCCCCCGCCAAGATCTGTTTGAGACCCCGAGAGTGCGAATCCGGACTTCATTGCCGAAATCGAAACCGAAAATCACTCCTATGTATATGTAGTCCACTGACTGAATACCCAAGTATGAGCTGCGCGCCTTCCATGTGTTGGACTCAAACACCCCACAAGAGTGAGTGGATAGCTGCACCAGGTTGCGGGAAAGTGGCACGATATCCATGCTCTCCTCATCACTCCGAGTGGGTGCATTGCAAGGGGTGGCTGCATTAGGTTGACCGGCGCAATATTTTTATGTCTGTTTACTACTCCCCAAACTATAACTGTAGTACTTGCGTGCGTATGCTCAAAATCGTTGACCGCTGGGTATACAACTCGACGGAACTCTTACGTCCCAACAAATTCCATCAGGTACAAGGTCTTGGAAGGCGTGTTGGTGCTACTCATCGGCGTGCTCAGCACGTTCTGGCTGCCGCTCCCGCTGTACCGGCTGAGGGAGGCCGTGACATGCCGACGGCGGAGGCTCCGACTCCTGCGCCAGTCCGAAGAATGCGGCGGCAAAGCTGGTGGTGGCGCCGACAGCAAAGCTATCCGTCCCGTCGGTGGCAGAGAAGCTGGTAATGGCGGGGGGCACGGGCACACAAACGAGGGAGCGGCGGAGGTCAGTGATCTCTCGGTAGCGGCAGAGACGACGTAGACTCTCAGGGTTCCCACCTCAGCAGAACGTTTCTGCGTGAAACACGATTCCCCGTCTTGAAAGTGGCGACTCTATCCATGGTGTAGCATTTTTAAATGACGCGTAGCCAGCTGAGCTGCTCCCCTCCCCACTCACCCCGCCTCACCGACTGCCATCCGACCCTCGTCCCTCTACCCTTTCCAATTCCAGAGCTTGACGCGACAAGAACCCAAGTCAGCAGCCGCTGCTGCGGACGGTTTCCCAGACCTGGGCAGGAGGTATCTCGACTTCCTCGCGCAGGCCCTGGGTCAAAGTCACTCGGCGGCAGCGGCGGCGATAGCCGCCCCGGACCGCCGCCCCGGCCTTCCTCGCAACGGCGGAGGTCATCCCGAGGGCTGTTTCGTCGACGTGTCGGTGAGAGAGCAACGATGCAGTAGCGGGTACGGTTTAAGAGATACCATTCTTAATGAGAGACTCGGATTAATGAGAGTGTTGTCGCCTTATCTCAACCCTCTCTTGAACCGCAGTGACCACTGTAGAGGCAAACGGGGGCTCTGGGGAGGAGGGAGGGGGGGGTACTCATAGTCGTACATGCCGTAGTCGTTAGACCATTGACCTCGCACCCCTACAAAGCCGGGGCGGAGCACGCCGGAACCTCACCGGACCAGGCTCTCACATCACCAAGCGCGAATCGCCGTGAGGTATTCGGCGAGTCGCATGAAGGGTGCGCTGCATCCTGCTAAGGGTGTTCGGCATCTTGTGCTTACTTCCTTGCGTACGGAAGACAGCTGCGTATGACATAGATTATTTTCTGGTGCTTTCACTTCCAGAGACAGTTGTAAGCACTGTGTAATTGCCTCGAGGGTGCTTGACCAATTTAACACTACGTGATGCGATCATCCCCCTTGCGCGGAGTGAGGGTTCTCCACCCCGCACAACATGATCTACTCGACCACCATTATGGTTACCGCAAAAAAAAACAAAATCATAGGTAAAAAAAACACGGTATACTGGTTGCCGAGTTCACGAAGTGAATTGGCTTGTTTTACAACGTCGTTGCGACGCGACGAAAACCCAACCCCGATGGGAAATACCGAGGGGGGGGGGCTTGTTTTACAACGTCGTTGCCAAGCGATGAAAACCCTACCCTGATGGCAAACACCGGGGGGGGGTGTGGCGGACGGGGGGGGGGGGCGTACTCTCATGTTTTGCATGCCTTAGCGGTTAGACCATTGACCACGCGTCCTCGAGAGGACGGAGCATTGTTCCCACAGGACCGATCACCGATGGCCAATCGTTCCTTTCTACTTTGCCAAAGGTGGCTCAAAAATGTCTTCCCTAGTCTGTCTATCCTAACGATATCCCTTCCCGCCTTTTCAACCCACCTCCTATGCCCCAGTACAGCTACCGTCCTTTCCTCTCTATTCCATGCCTCAAACATCTCCCTGTACGTTCCATCAACTTTTTCCAGCTCAGTCACGTCCACTTCTCTCTCCTTCTTGTACAACGGACATTCCGCTACTACATGAACACGGTCT